GAGGACTTGTAGACTTATAATACAATGATGAAGACAGTCCCCTTGTCAGGCTGTTGTTTCTGTTTTGTTTTTGTTTTACAGTATCCTGCTCTGTTTGGTGGAACCCCATACATTGGCAAGTGCAGCACTGGCACAGGTGGCTCATTAAAGCACACTCATGCTGCCTTCGCACGCTCACCCATCTCGTTCAAGAAGTGGTGCTTGAATGAATGAAGTTATAGGAAGCCGACTTTCAGGATGCAGATTTCCAAAGCTCCTTATAGTGATTCTGACCCCACCCCAACCCACCCCAACCACCTCCTAAACTTAAGAGGGGTCCATTATAATCTGCTGGTTGTTCGCAGAGGGAGTACGTGTGTCGTGCATAGGTGGGGATCTGGGGAAGTCCGGGTGGAGCAAATATCCAGCTTCTGTCTCCAGTGGTGAACGTATGGAAGAATGAGCTAATGGCCCCAGACGGGGACAAGAGGTAGATGCATTCACATGGGCTAGAGCAGCAGTTCTCAGCAGGGGCAGAACCACCCCAGGTGGGATTCTGGATGGGGGTGGGAGGGCACTTTTAGTTATAGCAACAACTGGTTGCTGCTAATGGCGTTGAGTTCACTAGAACTAGGGGTGACATATTCTAGGATGCAGAGCCCAGCCCCATGCAGTAAAGAATTGTCACACACCCTAACTCTCTTTTTTAATGTCTTGCCACACATTCATGTGGGTCAAAGTGTGGTTTATAAATATCTGAGCTCAAAACTTAACTCTGTGTCACATAAAAACACTAAGTAACCCCTTCTGGACTGTTCTATGCCCTGTTCCCCAGAGTGTTTAAAGGAAAATGAGGCCAACTCTGGGCACACACTCCTTACATGGTTTAATAACAAAAATAGGAAAAACAAGCAGCTTATCATTATAAATAAAATGAGGCGTGCAGGTTTTTGAAAAGGAAAGACCTGTTATTGCAGTTCAGAAATTATTTATGTGACTTCTAGAAATTTAGTCACAACAGGTTTGCAAGAATTGAAAATAAAATTTTCAAGTGTGAAGTAAGTCAAGATAGGGAAATCAGTGAGTATCATTACAAGCCCCTTTGAGGTCCTGAAATAGGAAAGGATTATTTTATTATTTCTCTACTCAGGGAAAAATAAAGGACGTCTCCTACCCAGTGAGTGGGTCTCCTGTGCTATGTAATGTCTCGCAGGTCTCACTGCTGCTACAAACATTAGCAGCAATGGGATGGTGCCGATTTGTCTGTTATATTAGAACTTTACCGCAAATGCAATGTGTGAATAATGGAATGCAGTAATGCAAATCACCTGGCAGTGCAGGAGTGCAGAAGGGCTCTGATGACTTGGCTAAAATAGGTTGGCTACTTGTGGTAGCTCTGTTTTCCTATCTCTAGGGTGGACACATGGCCACTAACAAATGCCCACTCTTTGTGGCTTTCCCCAAAATAGCTAAATGACCACAGGTTGCCAGGCAGCTGTATTCTGATGTCATTTTCCCAAGTGCCATCTCCAGAAGCCAGTGTGAAACAATCGCCATCTCCTGATTCCAGCAGCTTCCAGTTCACCATGACAGTTAAGTCAATAAAGTATTCAGAAGACTTAGGTTCATTTCCTCTTAAGTCATTTTTAAAATTTTTATCTTGATGAGAAAATAACCTCTAAAGAATTATGTCCCTCATACAAAATAGATCCTTACATCATAGGCAGTTTTTTTAAACCATAAAAATGATATCAGATGTAAGCATATGATTTATGTTGGTCAAACTTAAATAACCTTCTTTAAATTATATGTCAGCATATAGAAGGACAAAAAAGCTATGGTGGACAAATCAAATATGGTTATGAGTAGATTTTATTGTAATAATACAGAGGAGATAAAATTTGAAGTTCAGGTTAATATAGGAAAACAAAATAAAACTGTTGTCTTAAAGGAAAAAGTTCAAGCCAGAGCATTAAGTCTTCATTTTATCCTCTCTTGTATCGTACTCTGTTTCAGAAACATGAAACTCTGGGTGATGAAAAGCTACGTTCTAGCGGCAAACACAGTCCCTCACTGTGTTTGAAGATCACTGGAATGCCAAACTTGTTTTAAAATTGATGTTATAAATGTAGAGCGGTATGGAATCATTTGGATACCGGTAGGGTGGATATGGCAGGGTTAGATACCCACTTAGCTTACGGGTCTGAAAATCTCAGGTTACCCAGCCATACTTGTCAGCTTAACACCAGTAGCCTCCTTTATCTGGTGACCACCCTGTAATCGAAGCTTCCATTTCCTTCTCATGTTTAATATTAAGCAGGGACAACTTCTGAACCATAACTACCTTCAGACATCTTCATTATCTTCCAAGTGTGCCTTTGTGATAGACTATATTTTCAGTTGCCTAGAAACCAACCTAATGGGTAGCTAAAAACCTCACTCTTTTTTTGTGTCTGGTCCGTATTGCAAAATATCAAAAATTATATTTTGTGATTATTTAAATCTAACATTGTTTTCAAATTAGCTGTTAATATGCTACCAGGATCATATGTCTTTTTTGTGTGTGTGTTGTTTTTTGTTTTTTGTTTTTATAATTTTATTTATTTTTCCCCCAAAGCCCCAGTAGATAGTTGTATGTCATAGTTGCACATCCTTCTAGTTGCTGTATGTGGGATGCGGCCTTAGCATGGCCAGAGAAGCAGTGCATCGGTGTGCACCTGGGATCCGAAGCCAGGTCGCCAGCAGCAGAGCGCGCACACTTAACCACTAAGCCACGGGGCCGGCCCCAGGATCATATGTTGATCTGCTATATACTCGCTGTATTAGTCTTTTTCTTTATTTTTTTTTTTTTAAAGATTGATTTATTTATTTATTTTTCCCCCCAAAGCCCCAGTAGATAGTTGTATGTCATAGCTGCACATCCTTCTAGTTGCTGTATGTGGGACACGGCCTTAGCATGGCCGGAGAAGCAGTCCCGGGCCGCCAGCAGCGGAGCGCACACACTTAACCACTAAGCCATGGGGCCGGCCCTTTTTCTTTATTTTAATATAGAAATAAAGCCACCGGTCGTCTTCCCAGTTACTAGCAATACTTAAAATGCTGTCCTTTTAGATTTGAGGTTAGAAAACATGGCAAGGGTACAACTTCCTTCATCGTAAACACAGGGGTTCCCATTTCTACACTCAGTGGTGCAGTGTGAAGCCTCACTTTGTGGGAGAAGCAAGGAGACTAACATCTCTGATTTTAAACTCTTAAGAGCAGCCAACTCCTTCTAGAGTAGACTTAACGGGTTCCCCACCTGTCACTCCTGCCAACTTTTCTCTCCCCCTGCTGGCTGAGGGCTCCCTGGTCTGCTGACTGGCAGGTTCTCCCTCAGTGGGGCAGGGTTGGTCCCTGGTGCTGGCTATTGCACAAGCAATTTCAGATTCTCTTGGAAGTAAGTGGTTTTCAGTGCCCTAAAGAAAAGAAATGGAAAGAATGGAGTTTACATTTTCCATGAGGGAGAATCTTCTTAACAACGTGATCTGTAAAATACCTTGGGCAAAAATTGTTCTGAAGTTGTGTACCCATTTTCTGATCTGTAAATGAGATTTTCATTACTCTTCAGAATCAAAATTAATAAGAATCCTTCCATTCTCACAGGCTTCTTTTTAGTAGTAGTAGTAGTATTTATTATTAATTTGCAGACATCTATAGGAGGACTTTTGAGACACACTTGTACTATAAAATGTTAGTGTATTTGTGCTTCCTAAATTAGCATAAAAACTTAGTATCTTACCTATATTTTCTTGCTTACATGGAAAAAAGTGTACACACATTTTAATACCACTTTGGATAGTGCATCTCTGCTGTTAACAATAGTCTAGTGCTTGCGATGACTAAGACAAAATGAGAGCACACTTGGGAATGGCATAAGGCTGAGACACTTTTTTTTTCTGGGTCAGATATTGACTAAGACCTTGGAATTTTCCATGGCACATGGGGTTTAATGAAATTTGTTGACCACGAATGTCTTGGAACAATGCCTCTTCTGATGTTGTTAGTGACTGTATTTTATGTTATGTAAACCTTACTGGGTTATAAATACGATGGTCTTTTCATGTGTGATGGTGTGTGAATGAGGAGCTTCATAAACTTGATACTTTATCATACCCTTTAAGAGAAGATCATCAATGCTTCTGGAAGTCATAATCATTTGGTATTTATTCAAAGTCAGGAGTTGGTAATCCTGGATGCTGTTAGTATCGTAGCCTGTACACTAAGAGTGACTGTGACTGGTTAGTAATCTTATTTTGTCTTATGTTAGTAACAGGTTTTTAAGATAGCAAGTGTTCTACCCCACATACCAGCTAAGGTCTTGATTTTTCCCTTCCTGAAGATTCAGGACTGGGAGAAAAAAAGGCTGGGAGACTTTATATATGTATGTATATTTACAAGTTTATATATGCATTTACATACACTTGGTTTCTATCCTCTATCCTCAGAAATGCTTTCCCAGATCTCAGAAATAGATACTAGAAACTTAAGAGAGAGAGAAAAGATTGTTTAAATTGTATTTTTTGTTGTGTATGTGTTTGACGGTCAAAATAATTGGGTCTTGAGCCACTGATCCAGTACATTCTGTCGGTTGTTACCAGTGTCCTAAGTCAGTATGTAGTGAAAGCTGCCTTGCCAGAGTTCTTTTGATGGAATTGAATCTTTTTGGTGTCTGCAGTGTACTTTGCCCTATGCTATAGTACATGTAATTCTTTCGTAGCCTCCATCAGACCTCCCATGCTGATAAGTGCATGGATGGAATGGTGGCTTGCAGGCGGGTCATTCACCCCTAAAGAAAACACTCCCAGGTCACAACATATACCCCATGTTATAACAACAGCTGTGGATGGGATTCTAGAAAGTCCTAGGCATCACAGTTCATACAAGTTCCTCTTGAAATCCCCCTACTTCATCACTCAAAATTTTGGAATGAGAACAGTTCTGATATAATTAATAACATATTTATCTTTTCTCCCCCTCTAAAGGTCAAAAAATATTTTGAACTTGAACCACTTGCACGTGGAAAACGCTGGATTCTGCAGCCCTGCTCGCTGGATGACATGGATGCACTGAAAGATAGCTTCTCTCAGCTGATAAATTTGTTAGAAGAAAAAGACCATGAAGCTGTAAGAATGTGAATCTGGCAAAGACAACGGGTTCCCAAAAGGCCTTGAACCTATCATATTAGTTTCTCATTTTAATTTTATTTTGGTATCAAGACTATAATGGCTTCAGTATCTATTTTCCACTAGTTATTTCAGGCTCTCATCTCTCTTATTAAGTGAATATTCTGTAAATCAGGTGAATTATCATCGGCATTAACGTCAAGTACGCACTACTGAGAGAGAATTTATTCTCTGTTTACCACTAATTATCTTCACCGCATGTCTCTTCCTTCTGTTGTTCTAAGCGTCTCTTCTATACTCTGCTAAAATGGATGGAATTCGTGGCTCACGGAAATTAAATCCCTTATGAAGGACTCAGGGAGACTCAGAACCTTGACTCATTTTCCCTGGGTTTGGGGTAGAGTGCTGTGTGACTGGGACTTCCCGAAATATGTATATCATTTTCAAGATCTCTTGGGGTTTTTATTGTATTTTATTATGTCTTATTTTATTTTTTGGTTTTTTATATATAGGCCTTATCGAATATGAGAGAAAAATGCACACCAAAAGCTTCAATTACCTTATAAAAAAGAAATATCCTGCCATAGTAAAATTAACTTCAAAGAACTTAAAGATGCATAATGTTTCCTTGACGACATCTGAAGTCTCACTCTCTTCTCTCTTTTAAGAGCAAAGACATTGTTTTAATTTTTGAGAAGAGTTAGAGGAAATTAAGGCACAATGCACACATCACTGGTTACTATGTCATCAAGTCCTCAAATATTTTTTTAATGGAAAGATTACCCTGCATAAAATCAAGCTGCAACATAATATAGGTATCTTTTTCTAAAAGTCTTAAGTATTTGATTGAAAGAGAGAAAATAATTTTTAAAATAGTAGGTAAAATTTTTAAAAACAGCCAAATGAAGTATAGTTTGTACTGGCTAGGGTTTAAGCTGGCATGGATTTGACAAAGATAACAAAGACAGAATCATCTATATATTCATTCATTAAGTGCTAATGTCGTTTAATGGAGTCTGTTAATGTCTCCATCTAGTAATTAAAGGTCTATCAGTATTTCTATTATAAACCTCTATTTTCAGGGGTTTCAATGTGCCCTTAAAAATGTGCTGGGGCTGCAGCAAGTAAGTAATTTTAGGGCCCAGATTTAGTCTTTAGAACTAATTTTTTTTTCATTTAATTTAAATGATAAAATTACTAGAGATAAATGTACAGTTTTACTAAAGTTTGGCACCTGTGATCTTTTCTAAATCAGGAATAATCAATGGATATTGAGGTTTATGGATGAAGTGCTCTTTGGCATATTTTGTAGATTTTTGACCACTTAAAATACAAAGTGGCCAAATGTTAGAAAACTGCTCCCTTCACCTGAGCAATAAAAACATGTTTGTAATTTTTAGGCAGCATAGACTTTGTCCTGAATATCACAGACTCACACTCTTGCAGGGTGATGTAACACCTTGTAATTCTCCAGAAGAGATACGTCATTCAAATACAACTTTTGTGATTTAATCTTGTAGCTGGCTTTTAATGAAATCATTACCTTTGAAACATCGAACACCTCGTTAAGCTTTTTTTTAATGAAATGGATCAAAAAAGATTCATATTCAATTTTGTCTACAGCATCCTTGAATATTTTTACACTATGTAATCCGTGAGCAGCACAAAACTTTTACTCCAATGACTGGTTACACAATTCCTGCTTTTATTTTGTCCCGTTGTGCTCATCTCCTATGAAAAATAAATGATTATTAGGCTTTGCTTTCTCTGTAAGTTCATTAAATGGAGAATGTTGTCTTTTTAAGATACTGTGGCTGAGTGCTCCTAAGCCATCTGTTAAATGACTTCCTGTTGTCTGTGTGTGTGTTCATGTGTGCGCCAGTGATGGGCTTCTTCTCAGACCCACGACTGTCTGCAGTGTCTCAGCCGTCAGAATGAAAACATTATCAATCAGTACCCAACAACAGCTGTTTTTGACAAGTTTCTGTCTGACGCCTAATGCTTTACAACTGTCAATAAGGCTCCTCCTTTGTCTGGCAGTTCGGAGCTCGCCGTCTTGCTGCTTCCGTGTGGCATCCTGTCCTTGTAACCCTAGAATTTGCCATGTTTTGGAAATCCACAAGAGGGGGAGGGGAGGGGGCTGGGACGGGCATGTGTGGGTGGGTGGTGGGTGTGCATATGTGTCGTGTTCCTACTTCATGTAAAGTGCCACAGGTGGCTTAGTTTGCATATTCAAATATTATAGAGGAAAAACAGTCTGTTATGTATTTCTTCACTTAGCTTCTTGTTATATTTATGGAAGTTACCAGTTTTTGTACCTTCTTAGCTAAAGCAGTTGCCTTTTTGTAATGGCAATTAATTTATATGACAAAACTTTGTATCTACTGTAGTTTACAGTATTGGTTGCTAATTAACTGCCATATTGCCCTGTCTTTCTATTAAAAAAAAAAAATACTGTGTCTACACTTAGAGGTTAACAGATTCATGTGGACAGTTGCCAGGCAGGAAGAACTCGTATTGTCCGTGATTTATATATGATTTCCACTGTCTTCAAATGAAAATAAACGCTGAGTAGAATTGATGTTTTTGGACTGACTCCTTTCACTGTTAGCATTTGGGAGTCCCAGATTTCTGTTTACATTTGTGTTGCCTGTTTAAGTCTTCAAAATAAGTTCTGCTGCTCTTGGGTCAAAACAATGATTAATTCGCATTTCCTTTGAAGCTATTGTGAAAACCTCTAAAAGACCAAAAAAAAAAAAAAAAAGCTAGTGTCTTCCAGTTGGTTTGTCTTCAGCACAATTTACTTTCATTGGTGCCATTCCTTCAGAATGAGCGAGCAGAGTCGAGATGTTAAGTAAAGTGTCATCCTTCAATCAAAGTATCGTTTTATAATATTTGCTGTAAAAGCAACTTTCTGAGAATGGCTGGTGCAATGAACTATTTCCTTCAATGGTGGTTGATGTCCTTAGGAAATAAGTAAATATTTTTCAGTGACTCAAGAGGATATACTGTGTATTCACAGGTCCATCCTTGAGGATGAGAGTTTTGTATAAAAGACAAAAAGAGTGAGAAAGAAAAATAAAACGATAGGTGGATGGAAGAGGAGAGAAAGAAAAAGGAAAAAAACATACAATAAAAGATGAAAAATTCAAATCCCAGCTCTTATTTGATCCCAAATGCAACATTATCCTGACATGTATTATTTGGCTTCACAGAGAGCTTGCAACACTTCACTTCTAAGCTGGGTTCCAACCTACATTCGTGGTCTTGTTTCCAAGGTTGGCAATTAGCAGTTATCAAGTTCCTAAGCATCTCAGACCTATCCAAGCAAATGTGGGCAGAACTATAAGATTTTGAAGCAAATGGGGTTTTCTTAATGTCCAGATGGAATATTCAAATGTGAATGGAAATCTAACATTCATGCCTGGCTTCATCCTCTTTATAATTTTAGAGTGCCTTTTCATTAACCTCCTGACCTAATGGTGCAAACAGAAAGGAAAAGGTCTGTGGAGGGGGCGGGAAGTGGGAGGTGCCCTTTGGGATCCCTCATTCTCACTGCCTTTGGAAGGGAGGATCTGTCTTCTGTTATGCAGGAAATTATAGATTCCCTGCCTTCTCTTTCCCTTCGCCTGGGCCCTGGAGATCTGAAGTTCTTGCTGTGAAATGCATTATCACATCACTTTGGGGATTCCTGGCTCCCAAGGGTTCACAACTTTTGGTCTTCACTGAGTCAGCATGATTAAATGATTTGCATCTCAGGGTTAAATGTTTCCAACTCAGATGCATGAAGTGACTGATGAGCCCACGTTTTGGCACTCTACCCCACCCCCCTTGCACTGATTTAGGAATATGAAAAGGATCCCTTGTAAGACCCAGAAGCCTCAGATGGGATATCAGTTTCCCCTCCCCTTTCCCATTCTCTTTGAATTCAAATCTAAATGAAAAACTTACTTTCTGCCTAGGTCAGAGCTGGAAATTCTGACGTCCCATCCTGGGGGTTCATCTGTTTGTGACAAACCCTTCATAAAGGGACTTTCAGTGAAACCAATGCAAAGAATGTAAAAGGCACCAAGGAGAATCTCGCCAACGTATGCCTTGTCTAGCATCCTCCTTTCCTTACAAAACAGAGTGCAGTAGAAAGTGAATGATTTTTCAATCAGATTGTCTCTACATTCTCATGTTGCATTCCACCTCTGCTCCACGAGGCCGCTCTATTCCCTGGGTGCCGTTTAGAAAGGCCACCTACAGTGTTCTTAGGCTTTGCTTGCCCCCACCCTTCCATGCTCTGCTTAAGCAGGGAGTTTCCATGGGACACTCTATATGAATCATCACTTTTTACAAGAAAGTAATTCAGGCTTTGTGATTTAAAGCAACTTCACTTACCCTATGTACCTTGAGAGGTCACTGGTACCCTGTTTGGAGAATAAGGAAGGACACTCCTCAATTTCATGCCTTGCTAGGCTCAGCCAGGTTTATGACCCAGTCTGACTCCTGACCCCCCACTGCCCTAGTAGACTTTTCCACAACTACGGACCAACTTGGAAACAGCCATCAAATTGCACTTTTAAAAAATGATCTGCAAACTACCAAAGAATAATGAATTTCTTTTTTTTTTCCTTTTTCAAAAATCTCTCCTTCTTACTCTGATGCTCTCAAAATATTCTACACAGATATTTCAACTGCTTCTTTCTAGCAGCAACATTCCAGCCATGGGGGTGACTCGGCAGTGTTGTCCCCAGAGAGGAAAGCTGGCTCAGATGCATGGGGACAGGGTACACACTGACAAATGAAAATAAGCCTTGAATAAGAATCGGGTTCCCCAGTCTCCCTCATTTCCCTGTTTCCTCATGGGATGTGGGGAGGTGGGGGATCTGGTCAGTTCAAAAAAGCCTAAGGTCACTTACATCACAGGCAACCCTTCCTGTAGGTGTGAAGTCCAGCCTAGAATGCCGCAACCTTCGCTGACAAGTGATTCATTGAGACAAAGGCTGGAGTTCCAGCATCAAACAGATGTCAGACGAAACACCAAACACCTATAAATGATGCAAGCACTGGAATGACTGGAAGACCTGGCCTAATGATGCACTCCATGTCTGGACAAGCTTACAGAAGACATAGGTGGCGGGGAGGGGGCGAGGGAACTGTTTTTAAATGGAGCCTGTGAAAAAGGCTGTTTCTGGAGAGAGAAGTGAAACCACGATTCTCACCTGAGAGGCTCATGTTGAGATGAATGATTTCTGGCTTGTTTGTGTATAATATACGGAAGGGTCAATAAGAAAAATGCAAGTCAAGGGCACCCTGAAGGCCAGACTGGTGTGATATGATATTAAATCATTAGACATATAAATATCAGAGTAAATTAAAAATGAGAAGATTTCGTTGGAACGGAAACTGCTCACCAAAAGGCAGAGACAGGAATGCAAACAGTAAGTCTGGCTGTCATTCTCTATAATCTGGAGCAAGTCAGGCTCGGCTCTGGACCTTCTCTGGTGGTTTTACAACTTTCTAGACATGGGGTGTATCAACCCAACACTTTTATTAAGCAGCTTCGACAGGACTTTTCAGAGGACAGCTTGTCAAGACTCAACTTACCATTGTCCTTTTTACAGGTTTTATCTCACTATTGGAACTTTTGGTTTTAATAATTTGGGTGTTTTAATTCATTCATTCAGTGTGTTTTTGTTGAACATCCACTGTGTACCAGGCATTGTGTTAGATGCTTGGGATACAGCAGTAAACAGGTCCCTACTTCGTAAGACTTTAATTTCTATAACACTGGTTAAGTTGGATTATGTCTATGACCCTAGAGAATTTTTTTATTTGGGAGTCATTTTGTTATATTAAAATTGCAATTTGAGTCTCTTGAGTTTTAAATATTTTTTCTTGGTCCTAATTCCTGGTTTTCAGCCTGCTAATTTAAAATTGTCTTTGAATGCTGTTTTGTTTCTTTTGAGACCATTAATAAAACTAGAAATCTAAACAAATAAAACAGAAAAGGCTTTGCCCCTTTTTAGCATCTTTCTAAATAGAACTCTGTAAAGCTAGCACCTTTTATTCTGCTGTTTTACTGCCACAACAACGAAGCATGTGTCTAGCACACAAAAGTGCTTCCAAGGTGCCGAACCAAACTCTGAGTCACCTACTGTTCTTTTCATCTCCTCTGTATTCAAAGGGCTTTACCTCCCTCTCTAGAACAGCTTGGTCTCATCCTTCTGTCTGTTGATCTGACAAATGATCTATGTTTGAAATATAATGTTGAATGTTGACTCTCCAAGAGAAAATTCTTATTCAGTGGCAAACTCTTGTGTTTTATTCCACCTAGGAGTAAAGGCTGCTGTGTAGAAAACATGCCACAATTCACATGCCCAGACAGAGGCAGTAACCTGTAAGCCATAGAACCTCCTGGACTTGTTAACTAGTCAGGTGGCAGTGACTTTCAGCTGAGTTTCAGGAGGCTGCTTTGTTTTCCTCTCATTGAAGATTGAGAACTTGGGGTGACTCCTTTAAGCCCATTATTTATTCCAAGATGGTACTTGGACAAAGTTGGTCCTGTAGCAGGAATTGAGGCAATGTGGGTTTAGAATGCTTTTGCAAAATCTGTACCAACGCCATTGTCATTTCCTTGAACACGTAAAGTCCGTACTATTCTTCCCTCACCAGCCCTAAGTCCCAAGATAGACGTGCCTCTCAGAAAACCACAACGTATCCCTCTGTAGTTTACCGGCCTGAGTGTCCAGGTAGGATCACAGAATAAGCTGAAACAGAAGCCTATCTATTTCCATTCAGTTTGTTAATTTCAAGCCATCCCAAATTTTTAGGTGAAACAGCAGGATCCAGTGAAGTCACATAATACCAGAGATTAATTAAAATGTATGGTTTGTAATTCGAGGTTCTGCCCCTAATGAAATAATGGATCTGGGCAATGGTCATCAGTGTCTGCTAACATCAGAAAGAGGGAAACAACCAGGCAATATGTGCTTCCTGACAACAGTGTACAGTACCACCTATGAGGTATTCTTGCCAAAAAAAATGGAACCTGAATCTGACCAAGCCTCTAGATTTAGCTACCAGTTTGCAGAAAGTACAGGAACACAGAAATATGTTAAATCACATTGGTGGTACAATAATTTAAATTCAGACTATTGGAAACTCAACTGGACATCTAAGTTGGTTTCTGAAATAAATGGCAAGAAGGAAAAAAGAAATAGAAGGAAAACCTATAAGGAAACATATAGATTAAGAGAATCTTAAGAGCTCTATCAAACAGTTGCAGAGTAAGGACCTTATTTGGATTTTGATTCCAACTACCAAAATATAAAAGAATAAAATTGGAGAAAATTAGAGAAACTTAAACAGTTACTGAATATTTTATGAATTAAGGAATCATTGATTACTAGGATATTTTAGGTGTGATAGTGGGATTTGTGGTTGTGTATTTTTTAAAGGAGTCCTTATCTATTAATGGCACAGACTGAGTTATTTATGGATGAAATATTATGATGCTTGAGATTTATTTCAAAATTATTAAGTAGAGAACAGAAATAGGTGGGGAAATAGATGAAACAAGATTGGCCATAAGTG